TTCTCTCCTCCCCAGAAGGAGGAAAAAGATACTTACTAAGTCCTAAGAAGGTGTCTTCTCTTTTTCCAGCTGTCTGGCATACAGCATAAGAATAAATAATATTTACGGAGCACTTACTATGGGTCAAGTCTATTAGATCATTCAAATCCTCATGGTTTATTTTTATCTATTTTATGGAGCCTCAGAAAGGTCTTGAGTAGCTTGTCTAGTGTCTCACAGAGAAGAGGGAGAGCCTGGGTTTAAATCCAGAGCTACACTGTGACCACTACAATCTATTTTCCCTCAACATCTACTATTTCATTATGTCCAAGATGCTGAACAACAAGGCTTCCAGCCCCTGTGGCTCCCTTCCCTTGCATCTGTGCCCGTAAAAAGTTTTCAGTCCCTCTGTCCCACTTCCTTCCTTGCTAGTGCCCTGCCTACCACTCTGTCTCCCCAGTCTGGCTGCAGGGCAGATTTTGTTCCAATCCGTTTTCCAAAGGGCCCATGGGGTCCCTTGTAATTGCACCCCATCCCCAAGTTGTTTTATTTGGTAAAAACAAACTCTGTCTTGGGAATTTGTGTTTGGAGAGGAAACTTTTTAAGCCCTGTCTTTTCATCACCATCTCTCCAAACCTTGATTCTTGAAGAGCATGGTGGTGTAGAGATTGTGTAAAAAAGTAATTTAGATAGAGAGTCTTCCAGCCCAAGAGCAAGGATTCCAGGCTCTATTCCTGGCTCTGCCACAAACTGCTAAGCCTGACTCCCAGTCTCATTTTCTCTCTCTGCATTAATTGAGAATGAAAGGGCTATCCAAGGGACAAGATGGAGAGGAAAGAGATGATGTCCAAAGATATCCTTGCATTTCTGAGAACGAAAGAAAAAAAACTTCCCTATGAAGTTAAACAAAATGATGCATGTAAAGCATTTAAGCTATTGCCTGGCACATGTTAGGTGCTGAGTAGCTCAGGCAGATGGAGCGTGCAGGAGCTGGGGCACCTGCAGTCTCAGGGCTGGCTGCGGCAGGGCGTGGCTGTCAGAAGAGTGCTTTCCTGACTTTACCTGCAGGGTACAACTGGTGACATGCCACAGCTCTCAGGAAAGTGACCTACTTGTGTTTTTCTGTATGGACACAGGATTGCAAGAAATTCTCATTTGCATAGAGATGGGGAGTTTATTTTTACTAGAAGCTGCATGTCAAGACTGAGAAGAAAGAGGCATTTCTTAATAATCATTAATCAACTGTATCTGAAAAGAAAAAGAAATCAATTCAGGAAATGAGGTGCTAAGGAAATGAGGGGGAAAACAATCTCCCCCTACATGGACCCACCCAGTAAACCTTGACAGCATTTCCTTGTATACACCTGCATAAAAGTGACCAGCCCTTTACAAGTGGCAAAGAACACAAAGAGTGGAGACACAGGAGAAGCCCAGGAGCACGCCGTGAGAGGTGAGGCTCGTGTCGTCCTCCCTCAGAGGATTTGTTCATCAACCATCCCAGCCCTCGTCCTTTACAGCTGCAGAGAGGTGACCTGCTGTCACTGTGGATGGCCTATGATATCCCAAGTGCTGGGCATTTTGTAGAATGGGGAGGGGTATTCTGTATAGAGGCTGAACTTTCCAGTACCTTATTCTCAATAAGAAACAGGGAGAGTGGGAAAGGAGGAAGGAAGAAAGGGAAGGGGAAGGAATCTATTTTTTTTAGAAATATGATGATTTTATTTTATTTTATTTTTAAAATTTTATTGAAGTATAGTTGATTTACAATGTTGTGTTAATTTCTGCTGTATAACAAAGTGATTCATTTATACATATACATATTCTTTTTCACGTGCTTTTCCATTATGATTTATCACAGTATATTGAATATGGTTCCCTGTGCTATACAGTAGGGACTTGTTGTTTATCCATCCTATATATAAGTTTGCATTTGCTAGTCCCAAACTCCCAGTCCTTCCCTCCTCTCTCCCCTTCCCCCTTGGCAACCACAAGTCAGTTCTCTATGTCTGTGAGTCTGTTTCTCTTTCGTGGATATGTTCAATTGTGTCATATTTTAGATTCCACATGTATGTGATATCGTATGGTATTTGTCTTTCTCTTTCTGACTTACTTCACTAAGTATGATAATCCCTAGGTGAAAGCATGTTACTGCAAAAGGCATAATTTCGTTCTTTTTTATGGCTGAGTAATATTCCACTGTATATATGAACCACATCTTCTTTATCCATTCATCTGTTGATGGACGTTTAGGTTGCTTCCATTTCTTGGCTATTGTGAATAGTGCTGCTATGAACATAGGGGTGCATGTATCTTTTTGAATTATAGTTTTGTCTGGATATATGCCCAAGAGTGGGATTGCTGGATCATATGGCAACTCTATTTTTAGTTTTTTGAGGAACCTCCATACTGTTTCCCATAGCTGCTGCACCAATTTACATTCCCATCAACAGTGTTGGAGGGTTCAAGGGGAAGGAATCTAGCATTTACTATAAACTTTTTGTTCTAGGAACTGTGCTGGCACTTTAGAATATGTGTATTTTTAATCCTTTGGAGTATTAAATATCTTTTTAAACATAAGGAACACCACTGGTTCAGTGGGATCCGATCAGAAATGTGTTCCTTTTTGTCTGCTGTAAGGAAATCTGCTGGATCTCCAGTTGAGATCCCAGGAGGAACAGACCTGTAGGTGGGGTGGTGCAATGGTAAGGGGAACAGGCCACCTGCCTTCACATCCTGGCTCCGCCACTTGTTGGCCATGTACCTTGGGCAGGTTTCTCCACCTTGCTAAGTGTCAGTTCCCTCTTTGGTAATATGGGGATTTAAACAGAACCTGCCTCATAGGATGGTTGTGAGCATTAAATAAGATAATTGTGGAAAATACTTGGCATGGAGCTCCAGGCACGTGGCACATATGCTAAACGTTAGCTACTATTGTTACCTGAATCAGCCGAGATGTCTGGAATCTTCACCAAACTAAGGGGGGCATCTTTTTCCTCCACATCTTTCTCTTCTGAGGCTCCCAGCAGGGGATGAACCGGCAATGCCCCACTGCTTCTGAGAGTTGTCAGAAGAAAAACTGTGCCCCCTTTTAGTCACTTGGCTCTCTAGAAGCACCTTATTTGCCTTTCGAGGGGATAGAGCTCTGGGGGACTCTATAGTCTTGCCTGTCAATGGGGTCTATTTTCCTGTTTTGTCAGAAAGAGGTTGGAAAAAGAGAAATCAAGTTCTTTAACATAATGCCTGCTCTACAGTGAGGTCTCAACCTACACCTGCCCCTCACTGAGAATGATGCTGAGTTAAGGAGAGAGAAGGAGAAATGGTTTTCTAAGCAGGGTTTGCTGTTTCTCAGAGAAGAGCCTGGGATTCCCGAGGATGATCGGGGTGGGGGGAGGGGAGCGGGGACAGGTGTGGCTCATGCTCTCACACGTGTGTGCCAGGAGTGGGGGCGTCCACAGCCCCCTCAGCTGGCTTCCTATGCTTGCTGCCTCCCTCTCTTCCACTGCTGCACCCACTACGCTTATGCAGCACACGCGTGGCTGGGAATGAGTGCTCAGTCTGCACGTGGAGGAGGCTGGGCAGAGGCTGGTCTATTCCCATGGGTTGCCCTCGACTTACCTTTAACGCTCAGCTCTGTTTGTGAAACGTGCTAGTGCTGGAGAAAGTCAGAGAAGGAGAACTCAGCAGGCTGTGCAGTTATGCTTTGGGCACTTTCCTCAAGGTGTGTTACACGACACTGTTGAAAGCCGTCCAATGAAAAGAGGCAGAGAGAAAGGCAGGAGGGGTGCGAGAACTAGAAGAGGCAGCAGGCATCTCAGGTCTGGCCCTGGCTAGAGGCTAGCGAGCTGCAAACCTGTCCCTGGTGCCTGCTGGCTCAGTGGGTGATGGAGGGGAAGCCGCCACCTTGCCATCTGGGGGTCTCTCTCTTCACTGTGGCTAATTAGTTATTAGATGCCCCGCACCTCCCTTTCCCATCTTCTCCAGAAGGTGACATCTTCACAGCTGACTTCAAAGGAATGATTTTAAGCAGATACACAGTAGGGGTTTATAACAAAAGGGTATCACCTATTTTGGGGGCAAACATAAAAACCAAATGTGCTTGCAGCTCTAGGTAGATGGACCTAGAGTCTGTCATACAGAGTGAAGTAAGACAGAAAAAGAAAAACCAATACCGTATGCTAACACATAAATATGGAATATATATATATATATATATATATATATATAAAGGTCATGAAGAACCTAGGGGCAGGATGGGAATAAAGACGCAGACCTACTAGAGAATGGACTTGACATGGGGAAGGGGAAGGGGAAGCTGGGTCAAAGTGAGAGAGAGACATGGACATATATACACTACCAAACGTAAAATAGATAGCTAGTGGGAAGCAGCCGCATAGCACGGGGAGATCAGCTCCATGCTTTGTGACCACCTAGAGGGGTGGGGTAGGGAGGGTGGGAGGCAGGGAGATGCAAGAGGGAAGAGATATGGGAACATATGTATATGTATAGCTGATTCACTTTGTTATAAAGCAGAAACTAACACACTATTGTAAAGCAATTATACCCCAATAAAGATGTTAAAAAAAAAAAAAGAAAGAAACAAAATGTGCTTTTATAATTTTTCAGATCTGTTGCCTAACTCCTAGGGCATATTACCAACGCTGTTTTTCCTATTTAATTTATTAAAAACAATGCTTCTCACCCCTGTTGAAAAGTGAGCCGTGTTGAGTCATGAGAGTGATTTACACACGAATTTACTCCCTGGGAGTTGGGACAGCACTGGATCAGCCTCTCTAGGGGCGGAGCGGGGGCAGGGGGGACAGGGAAGGGCTCATTCAATTGATTAAAAAATAATCCAGAGAAGGAGACACATGCCCCAAGGTCCACAGGCTGAGGTACTGAGTCCTGTTTTCTCGGCTGCCATCTGGCCTGCCCCACGAGGTCCACAGGGGAACTCAGGTGGGGTCTCTTTCCTTGCTTTTCACTCTTGGCTGGGAAGCTGACTTTATCCCTTCCTGTAGGACATGCAGGCACAGGGTGTTTCTCTCTGCCTCCTGGGTGTGATGCTCTTTCTGTGCTCAGCGCATGCCCGAGGTCTCAGGAGATGTCTGATCTCCATGGACATGCGCCGTATAGAGGAGAGTTTCCAAGGGATTAAAAACGCCATTGTGAGTAGGGGTTTGGGGTGAAGGTGTGGGCAGGGGGGCGTGCCTCACTTTCCATCTTAACGTGGAGAGCCAGTTCTTTCTCATTACCTTTGTGTCTCTGGAGAATGTGGAATACTCACTGCTTGTGTCTGTTCTTATGTTTTCCTCCACAGCAAGCTAAGGACACCTTCCAAAATGTCACCATCCTGTCCACATCGGAGACCCTGCACAGCATTAAGGTATTGACCTGTGTCTGCTCGTTCCTCTATTGTCATTTTTACGGTGAAGTGGTGCAGGGCTGAGGGAGAAATCCTCACCCTGTGCTCTTTTCTTTCCTAACCTCTAGTGAACTCTGATGCTCCGGCTTCTCACAAGTGAACTGATGCGTGAGGGCGCACTCACGTCTCAGTGACCTTGAACCCCATGGGAGGGTGTTCACCCAGGGAGTGACTGGGGTGCCACACGCTCAAATGGGACAGGATGTCTAGGGCTTAGGGTGACTCTGGAAGGTTTCATGGGGAAGCTGAGAAAATGAGCAGTGACTTAAAAGCTGAGTAGGCTTGTGGTTAGTGGCTAAAAGAGATGGAAGGGTTTGGGGAGAATGGGTATGTAAATTCAATGGATACATGTCAGGGGACATAGAGGCAACCAGGGGGAATTCCCTGGTATTCCAGTGGTTAGGACTCTGTGCTTTCACTGTTGAGTATGCAGGCTCAATCCCTGGTCAGGGAGGTAAGATACTGCAAGCCATGCGGCACGGCCGAAAAAAATAAGAGACAACCAGGCTCGTGGTGTGAGGGACATGAAGGCAAGTGGAAGAGAATGAAGTGGACAAATACATTGGAGTCATTTTACCAAGAACCTTGAAAGCCAGGCCAAAATGGAAACTGACTAGCTGAGCCTCGGCCTTCTTTTTTTTTTTTTTTCTTTTTTGGCTGTGCCGTGCGGCCATAGGGAGTCCCTGCAGGTTTTTGAGCCAAAGACTGTATGACCACTAAGTCTTTTAGACAGTCTGGTGATGTCCTTTACAACCGCCAGCTTGAGGCACGAAGTCTACTTGTCCAGAGAGAGGTGGTGAGAGTATGTTACAAAACTGTTGGCTTACGAGGTGATAATTCACTTTACAGAAGGGGCCACTGAGAAGTGCCTTTAAAAGTGAGCTCCTCCAGTCCTTGTAAGCATTCTAGAAAGATCCAGTTCTTTCAGGCATTTATATGACAGAGTGTAAGGTATATCCACAAAGAGTTACTTTTTCCTTGGGCTTCTCTGCACGAGATAATTCTTCTAGGCAGTATTAGGCCTGATTTATTTATGGTAAACACATGGAGCCACTTCCTAAATACTATTCCAGCCAATGGTATAAGAGACTCAGAGGATATGATAAGCTGGAAGGGACCCAAAAGGCCATTTGTTCCAAAACCATCATTTTCAAGTGACCAAATTGACATCTTGGGAGAAAGAATGACTAGTTAGTGGTTGAGCCAGGAATAGACCCCCCAAGTCTCATGCCTCTGTCTCCAGATTCTTTGTCCTCTCAAGGTCTAGAAATAGCTGATGTGGCATAAGGAAAGGGGTCAATGAGAATGCAGGTCTTTGCCGTATTTCTCCCCTCCCCACCCTCTCCCTCCTTGATAAAACAAAGGTTGCAACTTTTTGCCCGGTTGGTTAAGGGAATTAGCAGGAGCAGAGGAAAAGGAGGGTTTTTGTGTTGCAAGGTGGGTTTCCACATCAGAAAATCTGCCTGTCGGGCCAAGGAGGCTTTGCTGCTTTAATGCTAATGAAGATAAATGCACCACTGGCTGTAGCCACTTTCCTTCTCAGACTGAGCCATAAATCTCCTGCTCTGGCTCTCAGGGTTGAGTGCAAACCACTAGAAGGAAACTCTGCCTGGCCAGCTGCTTTAAACTGTGCCTGGGGAAGTCAGGAGCTTTCCCTTAGGGAGAGCTGCACTCTGCCCGAGGAGGACCTGCCCAGATGTGTGCATTTCTGCAGCTGTCAGTTTCCATTCTTGCACATCTCAGCTCCATCCAAGTGATCCCTGAAGTTTAAAAAGCACAGACTGGGGTCTTCCCTGGTGGCGCGGTGGTTGAGAGTCCACCTGCCGATGCGGGGGATGCAGGTTCGTGCCCCGGTCCGGGAAGATCCCACATGCCGCGGAGCGGCTGGGCCCGTGAGCCA